GCTTGGGCCTTATATGGCTTTTAGGATCCGAGGAGCCCAACCGAAAGGCCAAAAGTAGCCAATGTAGCCACTGGGTTTTTTCTTTTCTTTTTTTCCTTTTTTTTTTTTTTTTTTGAGATGGAGTTTTGCTGTTGTTACCCAGACTGCAGTGCAATGGCGTGATCTCGGCTCACCGCAACCTCCGCCTTCTGGGTTCAGGCAATTCTCCTGCCTCGGCCTCCTGAGTAGCTGGGATTACAGGCATGCACCACCATGCCCAGCTAATTTTTGTATTTTTAGTAGAGACGGGGTTTCACCATGTTGACCAGGATGGTCTCGATTTCTTGACCTCGTGATCCACCCACCTCGGCCTCCCAAAGTGCTGGGATTATAGGCGTGAGCCACTGCGCCCAGCTGGTTTTTTTTTCTTTTTTGCTGTCAATGGGCAGTGCTGATTATTAGTGGGCAGCATCTCCGGACTTCTTTTTTCAGGGGAGCTCCCTTTCCTGCTCACTTCTGGCTATCTGCCTACTTTAACAAATGGTAGCTAGCACATGTAACCACTGGATTTGGGACAAACTGTGTCAGCAAACATCCCTTGACAGCACATAGAGTTTTATACCCAAGGGAGGGTCTCATAGCTTAAAGATGCAATGCTGGCATTTTTTAGGAGCCAAATGATGCAATTCAGAAGAGGATAAAACTCTTGCATCACATTTCTGCCTGGCTCAGATACACTTAATTCTCTTTTTTCTCCTTTTTTGAAACTGAGTCCTGCTCTGTCACCTAGGCTGGAGTGCCATGGTGTGATCTCGACTCATTGCAATCTGTCTCCCGGGTTCAAACAATTCTCTGCCTCAGCCTCCTGAGTAGCTGGGACTATAGGTGTCTGCCACCATACCCAGCTAATTTTTGTATTTTTAGTAGATATGGGGTTTCACCATGTTGGCCAGGCTAGTCTCAAACTCCTAACCTTAAGTGATCTGCCTGCCTCAGCCTCCCAAAGTGCTGGGATTACAGGCATGAGCCACATGCCCAGTGCAATTAATTCTCTAAAAGCAGGTTTTGCAAGTGTACTAACTTGGTATGAGGTACTGACTGGGATCTCTACTAGACTCTGGGAGTTACCAGATATAGTAGGCATAAGAGCAGCACTGTTGAAATCCGTGGCTCTAATTTTCCTTTGAGCCAAGTTCTGAGAAGACAATATTTTAGGCAGCAGTATCCCCAGGTTTCCCAGTGGTGGGAAAAGTCAAGCTGATTTAGGTGTCACAAGTTCCAGCTATGAAAAGAGGTCTGGGAGTAAGGAGGAGTTGAAAAGTTAGAGTCTGCAAGCAGCAACCATCCCTTCCCTCTCCCTTTTATATGGGGGAGGAGATTTGACATGAGCACTTTCCTTCTCTTTTTACAAGACTGAGGGCTAAGCTAATGGACCTGCCAACACTTCATTTTCCTGAGGCAAGGAGAAAGAAGCATGATTTAAGGAGTGAGGCAAGAGAGAGGGAGTGCCTGGAGAAGAGTCGACATTCCCATCACTTAGCGTTAAGAACATAATGTGTTTCTGGCACGGTGGTTCACGCCCGGCACTTTGGGAGGCGAAGGCGGGCAGATTGCCTGAGGTCAGGAGTTCAAGACTACTAGCCTGGCCAACATGGTGAAACCCCAACTCTACTAAAAATACAAAAATTAGCCGGGTATGGTGGTGCCCATCTGTAATCCCAGCTGCTTGGGAGGTTGAGGCAGGAGAATCGCTTGAAACCAGGAGGCGGAGGTTGCGGTGAGCCGAGATCACACCCCTGCATTCCAGCCTGGGTGACAGAGTGAAACTCTGTCTCAAATTTTAAAAAAGCATAAATGGAAAAAAAACTCCAGCAAAAGGAAACATTAATCAAAAAGAGACTGAAAAGGACCAAAAATCCAATCCTTTAGAAATAAAGAACTAAATTCATTTGATAGAAATATTTTTTAAAAGTAAGAGACTCTAGGTACCCAAGGTACCAAAAGAAAAGAAGGCCGAAAGGAAAACAAAGTGGCCATGGACCCTGTTGTTCTAAAGACAAGATAGGGGAAAATCGTAATATCTTTTCCTCACCCATTTCAAGGTTCACGACTGACACCCCTCATAAAAGACAGATTAACGAGAGAAAACATATAAAAATTTATTTAATATAAATTTACATGACACAAGAGCCATCAGAAATGAAGACTCAAAAACCCAGAAAAAAACTATGTATATTTATGGACAATCATGTAGAGGACAAAAGCATATGACCTAATGGTATTAAACTTGGAAGAGCTGGCCAGGCACAGTGCATCACACCTGTCTATAATTCCATCACTTTGGGAGGCTGAGGTAGGTGGATAACCTGAGCTCAGGAGTTCGAGACCAGCCTGGCCAACATGGCAAAACTCCATCTCTACTAAAAATACAAAAATTAGCTGGGTTTGGTGGCACATGGGATTATAATCCCAGCTACTCAGGAGGCTGAGGCAGAAGAATCGCTTGAACTGGGGAGATGGAGGTTGCAGTGAGCCAAGAGTGCACCATTGCACTCCATCCTGGGTGGCAGAGCAAGACCCTGTCTCAAAAATAAAAGTACATAAATACATAAATAAACAAACAAACAAACTTGAGGGAACAAGGCCTATTTGTTCAGATTCTTCTTGGTCTCTGGGTATAGAGTAGGCTACCTCTGAAATGAGGGTCTTCACACCTACTTTCAAGAGAGGCAGGTCAGAGAACTCTTTTATGGCCTGCTTCAACACTGCTTCTGCAGTGTTCTTAATTTCCTTCAACTTAAAATGCTCAGTAAGCCAAGGTGCCACATTTTGGGGTGTCATGTTCTGAGCCCCAACAAGACCAAGAAGTAGTAAATCCTCTCTGTAAGAAAGGCAAAGAGCATGAGCTTTGGTGAGATATCCAGCCTAACAGGAACTTTTTTACTTTTTCAGATGGCCATTATAACCATTCCAGGGACAAAGATCTAGCTTTTCTCAAATTATCTAGTTCAGCTTGCCCTTGGGTTATCCAACAAGCTGGTCTACAATACTGACCAGAGACAAAGCTGAAAAGTGAATGCTGGCCCCAAAAAAGCTGCTGGCCAATGGAAATTCTCCACACAGAGACCACATGACCTTAAAGTAGGTGTTAATACTGCCATCACCTAAGTGGAGAACAAGAATAGTAAGTAATGGTGACTGCACATGAGAGGAGACCCCTTGATCTAAAATTACTGCTCTCCTTGTCCATAAAATCAGGGTTCCCTACTACATCATCAAGGGAAAGGATAGATCAGGTCACAGGCCCAATCTTGTCTGCTCTCAGAAGCTAGCAGGGTTGGGCCTGGTTAGTACTTAAATGGGAGACTGTCTGGGACTACCGGGTGCTGTAGGCTTTTAAAAAAATTAATTAATTAAATAAAATAATAATAATAAAAATGATCAGGTCACAGAATGACCTACATCAGTCTCACTTTCATATGGCTTAACTGGAAAACAGTGGTATGCTGGCTGAGCTGGTAGAGCCCATCAGAACTAACTACAGTGATAACTATGATAAGATCTGACATCACTGGGAGACAATGACTGAGGTCCAAATTCTGTAATTCACAATGCCAAATTGGAAAAGAAAAAGGCTCAAGAGCTTGCCACAAACTAGTTTAAATATACTCTGTTGCCACGTGTGGTGGCTCACGCCTATAATCCCAGCACTTTGGGAGCCCGAGGCAGGTGGATCACAAGGTCAAGAGATCGAGACCATCCTGGTCAACATGGTGAAACCCCATCTCTATTAAAAATACAAAAAATTAGCTGTAATCCCAGCTACTCAGGAGGCTGAGGCAGGAGAATTGCCTGAACCCAGGAGGCGAAGGTTGCGGTGAGCCGAGATTGTGCCATTGCACTCCAGCCTGGGTAACAAGAGAGAAACTTCGTCTCAAAATAAATAAATAAATAAACTCCGTTAACTTCTCTGTAAATAAAAATAAAACATCCCCTTAAAACAAAAAGCTATTGAGGCATAGAAACCAGGAAATAAAAACTAGGATGTGATTTCCTATGCTATCCCAAAGAAAGGTAATAAAATAAAACTACGTTCACACACAAAATCTTTGGAATATTTGGGACCTCACTGAAAATGAATGTTTAATTTCTAAAGGTTGCAGAATCCATTTTCTTATGTTCTAAGAAGGAATCAGGCAGCAGCAGAAGTACACTTCTCATTCTGTGCTATTGATTCTAACAGGAGTCAACTATCAGGACTAGATAAATCTGACTTTTCTCAGTATCATAAACCATTAAAAACTTGTGTGGATGAATTATTGCTGGCCTGGAGAAAGCAGCTCACATTGTCAAGATGATGTTATCAGTAAGTTTGTGTGTGTCAAATCCTAGAACCAACTTAAATTGGCTTTAAATTTTGTTTTAAATTGCTATCTCACACAAAAAGAAATAGGGAAGCAAGGCAATTCAAGCACTGGCTACGTCAAGGGCTCAACAATGTCATAAGGCATCTGTTTTTTCCGTCCTCTGTGGTGCCATCCTCAGTACACTTTGTTTTGTTTGTTTGTTTTTGAGAAGAAGCCTCGCTCTGTCGAGTGCGGTGGAGTGCGGTGGCATGATCTCAGCTCACTGCAATCCCCCACCTCCCAGGTTCAAGCAATTCTCCTGCCTTAGCCTCCCAAGTAGCTCACACCAAGAGATTACAGGTGTGAGCCACCACATTTGGCTAATTTTGTATTTTTAGTAGAGACAGGGTTTCACTATGTTGGCCAGGTTGGTCATTGATTTCAAACTCCTAACCTCAAGTGATCTGTCTGTCTCAGCCTCCCAAAGTGCTGGGATTACAGGTGTGAGCCACTTTGCCCAGCTAGTACATTGTTTTTGTCCTCTGGATTAGCCCCCTCATCCAACATCAGGTAGAAATTAGCCATTCTTTATTACAAGGAATGGTCTAAGAGGCGCTGCCCCCAAAATCACAAGCAATTAGAAAGCAGTTAGAAGAAAAAAGGCTACTTTGGACATAAAGCATAAAGAATTCCTTTATTATAAATAGTGAAAGGTAAAAAGACTGGAAAAACAAACATATATCTTCTTTAAACAAAAATTCAATATGGCAATACAAAAATTAGCCACGCATTGTGGAGCATACCTGTAATCCCAGCTACTTGGGAGGCTGAGGCAGGAGAATCACTTGAACCCAGGAGGCGGAGGTTGCAGTGAGCAGAGATCGCACCACTGCACTCCAGCCTGGGCGACAAGAACAAAAACTCCATCTCAAAAAAAAAAAATTCAATATGGCTGCCAAAATAACTAAAAGCAACACAGTGGTCAAGAATTAAACTTTCTCTTCGCACGTTAGCACTACATATATAAACCATTCAGCCTAGTAACTTCTTATAAAGTGTTTCATCTTCCCTAAAAGCATATTACATTAATTACAACTTGTTTAAATTCATTCTGACATTACACTTATAATAATTATCTCTTTTTAATATTTAAATACAATTAGACTAATACTTTGATCAGTTGGTAAAACTTCCATTCTGAGTCAATGAAAAACGTCCATATACTTACATATTTTACTCTTTGGAGAAGGTTACCTCTAGATCTCTTGAACATTTCACCCTTTTCTACGAAAGTGTATGCGACTTATAAGTTCTCTGAACTTCAATATTAAGGAGTAGTTGTTCATGTTGTCTTTCCATATTTCATAAGTCCTTTTAAGTTTGTCATAATACCTTTCTTTTTTCAAGTTGAAATCTAATCCTGTTGTTTTTGAAAAACTGTCCCTTTTCCATATTTCTCTCCAGGAATCTTTGAATTTTTCCAAACAACTTTCTTTCTCAGAGTCTTCCTTCCATATTCCTTCTCCTTTTTTTACGGCTGTTAATTCAGCTTTAAGTAAGTTTCTGTGAATTTTCCAATAGATTTTAGAATCATATTTAAGCCCTTTAACAAGAACAGTTTTGCCAAGGCCTCTTCTCAGAATTTCTTCATTCAGATTCACATTGAAATATCTACCCTTGAATTTAAAAATAATACAAACCAATTATTTAAGATAAGTGTTGTTATACCCATCACATCTTATTTACCTTAAAAATCAGTCATTCAGCAATTTTAGTCCTCCAAAGAAAAGGCAAAAATGGTCCCCAAGGGTCCTCAAAAACAGCTCTTGCTAAATGTAAGGATTTTTATTACTAGAAGACACCCTTGCTCAAAATCAGGTGACTCTTTTATAACATGGAATTCTCCACAGACTCACTGTTCTCCTAACCCGAAGAGGTGAGGAAGTAATAAAGTACAAAAAGTGCGTTTTTGGTCTATTCCTGGTTCTGTGGAGGGGAAGTGGGATACACAAGAGAGCCACAGTGGCAGCAGGACACAGCAAAAGAAACTAAGAGATGAAGAGAAACTAAACTAAAAGTAGCCAGATGCAAAATGAACTGAATCATCACTGAACTGTTAAATTAGGTTCAGAATTCCAGTGTTTTGGACAGCACTGGCACATAAATACATTTTTTTTTTTTTTGAGACGGAATTTTGCTGTTGTTACCCAGACTGGAGTGCAATGGCACAATCTTGGCTCACCGCAACCTCTGCCTCCTGGGTTCAAGCAATTCTCCTGCCTCAGCCTCCCGAGTAGCTGGGACTACAGGCACGCACCAGCATGCCCAGCTAATTTTTGTATTTTTAGTAGAGACGGGGTTTCACCATGTTGACCAGGATGGTCTCGATCTCTTGACCTCGTGATCCACCTGCCTCGGCCTCCCAAAGTGCTGGGATTATAGGCGTGAGCCACCGCGCCTGGCCACATAAATACATTTTTAAAAGACTTTCCTCAAAGTAATTAACATAGTCTTGGCCATTGAGTCTTCATCCTACAGGAAAGGAATACCTCACTTCCTAATGAAACCAGATAAATGGGATTTTTTTTTCCCCACTAATTCACTGTATAAAGGAGATCTTGCCTAGATATTTCTTCAGTCCTTGTGGGATTTGTTTTTTGTTTTGTTTTTAAGACAGAGTTTCACCATATTGATCAGGCTAGTCTTGAACTCCCGACCTGGGATTTTAATCTTTTTTTGTAAGACTTCGTTCCTTCAAATTCAGAAAATTTTATTACATGATAAGGACTTAGCAAATTAGTTACAAAGCAATTATATTTTTCTAAATCTTTCAAATCTTATAAGCTCATTCCCTTGAATCAAACTCAGAATAATTAAAATTCAACCTCACATTAGCAAAATTCAAACCAGAGAAGTAAATTATCACTCTATGTGTATAGCATAGCTTGGTGGCTTAGGAAGCAAGATAAAATAAAGATATGCTTATAAGATGAAATGCAGGCTCAGGAGCCAGGAAGAGTTGGGCTTTGATACAGGCTCTTCTTCCTGGCTACCCTGACCAAGACAATCAGGTTCCCTAAAAGTCCACCTGAAAGTGGGAACAAAAGTAATAACTCTGTAAAGTGGTTCTGAAGATAACTGACATCAATATGAGCATGGCACCTTAGCTCAGTGGGCACATGTTGACCCTCAAAATACACATAATTGCTATCTTTATCATCACGATAATCATCTCTTTTGATAACTATACTCTTCAATTTAAAAGCTGATATTTTTATAGGCCTTTGGGATGTTTTCTACAACTTCATATTAACTTACTTTGTTTTTGGTTTTTTTTTTTTTTTGAAGCGGGTCTCACTCTGCCACCCAGGCTGGAGTGCAGTGGCACGATCTCGGCTCACTGCAACCTCAGCCTCCAGGGTTCAAGTGATTCTCTTGTCTCAGCCTCCTGAGTAGCTGAGATTAAAGGTGCCCACCTCCATATCCAGCTAATTTTTGTATTTTTAGTAGTAACAGGGTTTCACCAAGTTGGCCAGACTGGTCTCAAACTCCTCACCTCAAATGATCTGCTGGCCTCAGCTTCATAAAGTGCTGGGATTACAGGCATGAGCCACCATGCCCGGCCTTTATTAAGTTACTTTTTTTTTTTTTTTTTTTTGAGACAGAGTTTTGCTCTTGTTGCCTAAACTGAAGTGCAATATGGCACGATCTCAGCTCACTGCAAACTCCACCTCCCGGGATCAAGTGATTCTCCTGCCTCAGCCTCCCATATTAACTTACTTTTAAACTTACTTTTAAAATGTAAGATACTTCAATCAATTAGTTTTTAGATAATTCTTATTTTGAAAGTACTGAATATCATCTGGACACACAGAAATTAATGAATTTCATTGAGACTTCTATTAATAATTTAAAATGCTTTTAAGAATTAAAATGGTTAAGTTTCTAATCATCTTATTTTATTTAAAAGACAGGTCTCACTCTGTCACCCAGGTTGCAGTAGAGTAGTGTGATCATAGCTCACTGCAGTCTTGACTGTGTAGGCTGAAGCATTCCTCCCACCTCAGCCTCCTGAGCTGCTGGGATTACAGGCACAAGCGACTGCACCCAGCTCATAAGTATAATTTTAAGAGCTGAATATCATAAAAGTGATCAAGGTATGAAAATCTATCTGATGGCCCACCAAAGAAATCTGAAGTAAGGCATATCCAGGGGTTCAGGACAGTGATTTAGCAACAAAGATGAAACTGTCATTTCCAGTTATACAATGGCTATGGCCAGTCATAAAGGTAAGAAAACTCTGAGGCAACATCTTTAGATGACTCACCACACTGATCAGAACTAGTTCTTAACAATGTTCAACTTTACAGTTCAAAGGTTTATACACTAACACAGAACTATCAACAACATGTTGGACCAGACTGAGCAAACCCTGAGAAAATACCCTTGCTCTTTGTAGTTTCCAGCTGACAAGTCTCACTCAACAAGTGGTTTCTGGTGACAAGCATGTTTAATATACCCATACATAAATAAACATATATGATACTCCCTAAATTGGCAATATTCAGAATCATTAATAATTTGAAGTTTATGGCCAGGCACAGTGGCTCATGTCTGTAGTACCAGCACTTTAGGAGGCTGAGGTAGGCGGATCATGACAAAACCTCATCTGTACTAAAAAAAAAAAAATTAAAAAAAAAAATTAGCCAGGCATGGTGGCCTGCACCTATAGTCCCAGTTACTCGGGAGATTAGGGCAGGAGAATCCCTTAAATCTGGGAGGCAGAGGGTGCAGTGAGCCGAGAACATGCTACTGCACTCCAGCCTGGGCAACAGAGCAAGACTGTTACAAAAAATAATAATAATAATTAATAATAAGTTGAAGTTTTTTTAATTTTCTATTTTTTCTCTAATGAACATATATTATATATATAACTAAAATGAAATTTGTATATAAAACACCTGGTTCTATATGCATAATCACTCTCAGTAGCAGTTTAAAAAGGCAAAAAAATTCAGTCCCATTATATATCCAAAGTACTAACGAAATGTGTTTACAAATAAATAATAGAATAAGATATTGCTAGTTATGTCTTCACGCTGCTTACCTTATTCACCAAAATATAGCAAAAGAGTGCTGAATTCTCCTTTCCAAGAAGTTGGAACCATAGTAATTGGGAAGGTTTTAGCTCTTTTTGTAACCATGCCTTCCCAGTTTCAGTGAGTTCTACTCCGGCCAACTTAACCAGCAAAGCACCATGTGGCTCCTCTAAAAAGGTTAGGTAGAAAAACGTTCAGCTTTAACAAGATGTTGTAAAAGCAAATTCCAAAGTCATTTGGCCTCCAAAAAACAAATATATTATGTTTATTTATAAATACCCAGTCTCTCTAAATGTAGACCCATTTATTTCTATATTCAAGTTTTCTCCCAAAACAATACAAATATATATAACAGAGTAATTTCAAAAACCCATCTCTTTTTTTTTTCTTTTGAGACAGGGTATCACTCTGTCACCCAGGCAATCTTGGCTCACTGGAGCAATCTTGGCTCACTGCAATCTCTGCCTACCAAATTCAAGCAATTCTGCCTCAGGATCCTAAGTAGCTGGGATTACAGGCACGCACCACCATGTCCAGCTAATTTTTGCATTTTTAGTAGAGACAGGGTCTTGCCATGTTGGCCAGGCTGATCTTGAACCCCTGGACTCAGGTGATCCACCCACCTCAGCTTCCCAAAATTCTGGGATTACAGGGGTGAGTTGCTGCACCCAGCCTTCAAAAATCATTTCACTAAGCTTTAGAACAGGAAGTGTGATTTACCTATTTAATCTTCTTTTTTCAACCTCCCATGTTTATTTTTATACATACACACGTAAAGCTATAGACCTTCAGTTTCATAATATGGGCTATCACCACCAAAATAACCACAAATTGTTTTTTATTTAACTTATTAAAGATATCTTCCCATCTCAACAAATATTTATCTACATCAATACTGTTAGGCTTATACATTATGCAAAACTAACTTCTAGCCAGGATTTTATCAATTTATATTCCAAGTAGCATAATATGAAGAAGACCTGTTTACTCAAACCCTTGATAGAATTTTAACCAATTTAAGTGGCTGGGTGTGGTGGCTCACGCCTGTAATCCCAGCACTTTGGGAGGCGGAGGTAGGTGGATCACGAGGTCAAGAGATCAAGACCATCCTGGTCAACATGGTGAAACCCTGTCTCTACTAAAAAATACAAAAAAATTAGCTGGGCATAGTGGCGCGTGCCTGTAATCCCAGCTACTTAAGAGGCTGAGGCAGGAGAATTGCCTGAACCCAGGAGGTGGAGGTTGCAGTGAGCCGAGATCGCACCATTGCACTCCAGCCTGGGTAACAAGAGCGAAACTCCGTCTCAAAAAAACAAAACAAAACAAAAAAACAATTTAACTTTAATAACAAGATTTTATTTTAGAAAAAGTTTATAATGTTCTAAAAAGGGATAACAGCTGACAGAAAAAAATTGAGTGTCTTAAAAAAGAAATACATTTAACATACATTAAGCTCTTACATACTGGTTGAAAATATAAAGTTAAATTCATCTATTCTTCAGGAAAGAAATAATACTTTAGTTCTAGAAGATATTCTAGAACACTGTTATATTATTTGATTTAAAAAATAAAAATTTCTTTAGGATATGGGCTTCTTAAAACCTGTCCTAGAATTTTAGTTATGAAGCATCAAAAGGTATAAGTGGCCAGGTGCCATGGCTCACACCTGTAATCCCAACACTTTGGAAGGCCAAGGTGGGTGGATCACCTGAGGTCAGGAGTTCGAGATCAGCCTGGCCAACTTGGTGAAACCCCATCTCTATTAAAAATATACATATTTTAAAAATTAGATGTGTGTGGTGGCAGGTGCCTGTAGTCCGAGCTACTTGGGAGGCTGAGGCAGGAGAATCATTTGAACCCAGGAGGCAGAAGTTGCAGTGAGCCGAGATCACACCACTGCACTCCAGCCTGGGTGACTAAGTGAGACTCCATCTGAAAAAAAAAAAAAAAAACAAAGTATAAGTGATTGCACTACTACACTCCAGCCTAGGCACCAGAGCAAGAACTTGTCTCAAAATAAACAAGAAGGCTGGGTGCAGTGGATCACACATGTAATCCCAGCACCTTGGGAGGCCAAGGCGGGTCGATTACCAGAGGTCAGGAGTTCGAGACCAGTCTGGCCCACAGGGTGAAATCCCATCTCTACTAAAAACACAAAAATTAAAGCCAGGAGTGATGGTTTATGACTGTAATCCCAGCACCTTGGGGGTCCAAGGTGGGTGGATCACCCGAGATTAGGAATTCGAGACTAGCCTGACCAACATTGTGAAACTCTGTTTCTACTAAAAATACAAAATTAATCAGGCATGCTGGCACATGCCTGTAATCGCAGCTACTTGGGAAGCTGAAGCAGGAGAACTGCTTGAACCTGGGAGGTGAAGGCTGCAGTGAGCTGAGATTGTGCCATTGCACTCCAGCCTTGGCAACAAGAGTGAAACTCTCTCTCAAAAAAACAAACAAACAAACAAAAATACAAAAGTTAGCTGGCTGTTGTGGTGTGTGCCTTTAATCCCAGCTACTTGTGAGGTTGAGGCATGAGAATCACTTGAGCCCGGGAGGTGGAGGCTGCAGTGAGCCAAGATCGCACCACTGCACTCCAGCCTGGGCAATAGAGTGAGACTCTGTCTCAAAAAAAAAAAAAGAAGAAGAAGAAAACAAAGGTATTTGTAGAATGATCATACTTTTAGCAAAAACTTTGCATTACAGTAAGCAAATGCACAAATTAGACTGAAGCTGAACATCCAGCAAAGATTAAATGATGTCAAATCATTAGTACATAATAAGTTACAATCCTCTTCCAGTAAGACATCCTGGTAGTAGCAGAAGGCAGCCAAACACTCAGGCCAATAAGGGACCAGTGCCTGGTGAAACCTGACCTTCAAACCAAAGACAGTTAAAAATCTGAAAACCAAGCTATAAGTCTCAGATAAAACCTTGGACTGGATAGAGAACCTCTCTTCTTGTTTGGCACTTTGCTCTGATTGATCCCCACCCTTCACCTCTTTTACACATACCTACCCTTCCCTAATTGGTTTTTGCACTGTCATGCCCATCTTTTAGTGGTGCCCTTTATTTTAGACTTTTTTGTATACTCACAAACCAATGGGCATACGCTCCCCCATTCTGAGCCTAAAAAGCCCCAAACTCAGCCACACTTCAAGACTGCATGTCTTCAGGCAGGGGACTACCCGACTTCAGGTGGCATTGCCCAAGTCACGTACCCTCTCTGCTAAGAGCTGTTTCATCACTCAATAAAACTTTGCCTTGCTCACCCACCAGTGGTGAGCTAACCTCATTTTTCTCGGATGTGGGACAAGAATCAGGACCTGCTGAATGGGGAGTATAAATAAGCACAGGATACGGACCAAGGTGCAAGCCAAGTACAGCTCCTGGGGCCGAGTGGGTAGGGTACTTCCTGAGGCAAGTCCAGGACCAAGCAAGGTCCAGACAGGGGCACTGCCAGCTGTGGAGGTCTCTGGCTGGTAAAGCAGAACCAAAATATCCTGTGTCAATCCCAGTCTTTGAGACCAAAGCTTTGGGAACCAAAAACTTGAAGTGGATGGTCCATTAATCTAATAACGTATTAATGTCCTAATTCTTTACTTGACAAAGGTCATTGTATTTCCTTTAAATTAGCAAATTTCCCATTAAATATGTAAAATCTAATGTGATCAGTAAGATTTTAAAAATAAATCTTCCAGAAACAAATTGCTTTTTTGAAAAATCAAGCGTTACTTTTATTTTTTTAAGATGTAAGTTTCTTTCTTGTCACCGAGACTGGAGGGCAGTAATGCAATCTTGACTCACTGCGATCTCTGCCTCAAGTGATTCTGCTGCCTCAGCCTCCTGAGTAGCTGGAATTACAAGCACATGCCACCACAAGCCCGCCACCACACCCAGTTAATTTTGTATATTTAGTAGAAAGGGTGTTTCACCATATTCGCCAGGCTGGTCTTGAACTCCTGACCTCAAGTTATCTGCCCACCTCAGCCTCCCAAAGTGCTGGGATTACAGGAGTGAACCAGTGTGTGTGGTGTGCATGCAGGCGTGTGTGTGTGTGTGTGTGTGTTGAGACATGGTTTTGATCTGCCACCCAGGCTGGAGTGCAGTGGCATGATCACAGCTCACTGTAGCCTCAATCTCCCAGAGTGTGTGTGTGTGTGTGTGTGTGTGTGTGTGTGTGTGTGTGTTGAGACATGGTTTTGCTCTGCCACCCAGGCTGGAGTGCAGTGGCATGATCACAGCTCACTCGACCTCCCAGTCTCAAGCAATCCTTCCACCTCAGCCTCCCATGTAGCCAGGACAACAGGCACGCGCCATCACGCCCAGCTAATTTATTTGTTTCTTTGTCTGTTTTTTAAAATTAGGTCTCACTCTGTCACCCAGGCTGGAGTGCAGTAGCATGATCTTGGCTCACTGCAACCTCTGCTTCCTGGGCTCAAGCCATCCTTTTGCCTCAGCTTCCCAAATATCTGGGACTCCAGCTACAGGCCCATGCCACCATACCCAGCTAATCTTTGTGGTTTTTGTAGAGATAGAGTTTCATCATGTAGCCCAGACTAGTCTCAAACTCCTGGACTCAAGTGGTCCACCTGCTTCAGCCTCCCAAAGTGCTGAATTACAAGTACAAGGCATCGCTAATTTTTAAAATTTTTTTGTAGAGATGGGGTCTCACAATGTTGCCAGAGTTAGTCTCAAACTCTTGGGCTCAAGAGATCCTCCTGCTTCAGCCTCTCAAAGTGCTAGAATTACGGGCATGAGCCACTACACCTGGTCTTTGATTTCTAATCTACGAATTTTTTAGTTTTATGTTACTGTGATGTGTATCCCTCTATCTTCTCAGCCCTTCAATAAATCTTTTATATAAGCATCAAAAATAAGTAAGTAAATAAAGCCCAATTTAAAACAGATGGATGACACAATAGATGCTGGTTAGGAGGGGAAAACAACTTAGGCTCCAATGGAGTAGGCCAGGAGTACTCTGTCAAAAAGGTAGAACTTGGCCAGGTACAGTGGCTCAGCCTGTAATCCCAGCACTTTGAGGGGTAGAGGTGGGCCAATGACTTGAACCCAGAAGTTTAATAAGGGCTGGGCAATACAGTGAGACCTTGTTTCTACAATAAATTAACTTAAAAATTAGTGGCCATGATGATGCACTCCTGTAGTCCTAGCTGCTTAGGAGGCTGAGGTGAGAGGACTGCTTCAGCCTGAAACGTGGAGGCTGCAGTGAGCCATGATCACGCCACTGCACTCCAGCCTGGGTGACAGAGCAAGACTAAGTCTCAAAATCAATCAATCAAAGATAAGGTTAGACTTGGATGTTTCAAATAAATAGAGAAGCAGAAGGGAGTAGACAGTGACTATGTCAAGTAAAGGAAAGATCATGATCATCTAGAAAAACTACAAACATGAGATGAATACTGGAGCAAACCCCAACTAGGGAGTCTGTTATATTTCTGCCTCATGAGATGGGTTCCTACCCATTTTTAAGGTTTTTAGAGAAACAGGACATGAAACAAAAACTGATACTTTGTAAACAACTCTAGATCTACAAAATACTATAAGTGGATTTATGACAATGGACGACTTCATGAGACACATGAAGTTGTATGACAGCAGAATCATCTACACCTATGTCACAATTTTTTTTTTTTAACCATCAGGGATAAGAGAAACTTTGAATAATTTCCTTACTAGACTGCAGGTTTTATGACTACTGCAGGCATGTGCCCATTTTGTTTGAGACTGTAACAATAGCACAGGTATTCAGTAATATCTGAAGGAATGAATTATTCTAAATGTTTTACTTCATAAAATTTTTAGGCTCTGTGCATGTGTGTGTGTGTGTGTGTGTGTGTGTGCATGCCTCCTCACTCATACACACCAAAAATAAGACTGCAGAAGGGACAGGTAGCACAGAATTGTCATGAGGAAGGAGTCTTAGAAATCTTCTAACTCTCCAGGCCAGGCATGGTGGCTCACGCCTATAATCCCAGCACTTTGGGAGGCCGAGGCAGGCGTATCACAAGGTCAAGAGTTCGAGACCATCTTGGCCAACACGGTGAAACCCCATCTCTACTAAAAATACAAAACTTAGCTGGGGAAAAAAAATGAAAAAATTACCTGGGCCTGGTGGCATGAGCCTGTAGTCCCAGCTATTCGGGAGGCTGAGGCAGGAGAATCGCTTGAACCCGGGAGGTGGCAGTTGCAGTGACCCAAGATTGTGCCACTGCACTCCAGCCTGGCAACAGAGGAAGACCCTATCTAAAAAAAAAAAAAAAAGCTTATAACTCTCTTGTTTGATGGTGGTAGGAACAACCACAGACCAAAAGTAGAAACAGAACACAGCTCCACACACCAATCTGTGTTCTACTACACCATGCAGCCTCTGCTACTACGTCAAGTCATTCGAACCAAACTTTCTTGGTAAGAATAACCTCCATTTTTAGGACCTGGGTCTTAGCCTTCCTCCGAAATAGAATAAGTATCAATTTTTGTTATATAAGCCCAGAATTAGTAATAGTGAAAGGAACATAAGAAGCTTCTAATTAACTATTTTAAAATGAAGACTATGCTCTAGCAACTTAACATATCATTCAGAATGGTTTGGATAGAAACTTTCTAGCTCGAAAACAATTTTACAGGTAAATAAATTTCATGTCTGGAAGTACAAAATGATCTTTTCACATAAGCAGTTTATGTCAGTCATAGCACTATCATGACATCTGTAGTGGCTAATGGCTGTTGAGAGGTATAAGACATTTACCATCTGTTTAACTTCTATATGTCTACAGAACATGCAGTTCTGAACTGAGTGATGGAAAATCTGTTTTCTAGCTTTGATTTCATCACTATTAGCTAGATGGCATTTAATCTCCATAGAAAATATTAAAATAAATGGAGGAGAACAGTCAAGTGGGAATTTAAGGTCTTCTAAGGCTCCCTTAAGCTCTAAAACTCTATGCACCAAATTACATAAACACATTATTATTTGTTGTGAGACCCATTAATAATAAAAATCATATATGGCAATTACAGCACTGTGGCATTGCATAATCAGGAGGCAGATTTCTATTAAATATCACCCCTGTAGTCATGCAATACATAGCCTGGACAATCACAAGTGATGATCTAGCTGGCTAAGCTCTAAAGAGCCATTCCTATCAGATAGGAGAGATTTAAATTATTATAACAACTGAGAACCTAAAGGACTTGTTTAGTGTAAATACTGCTCAGAACTAAAGTGGCCAAAAAAAAGCCATCCTTGGTAATCTCTCTTTAGGGAGCAACACTCATTAAAACTGTTAAGTTCTCTTGGGTTTATTAAAATAATTAATCTTATTGAGTATGTCTGGGGGAAAAAATCAATCTTGTTCCTTTACAGTTATACCTTACTGAACAACGTGATATTTGTTCATCTTGGGATTTTAAAAAAGCAAGAATTCCTTTCTTCATAAAATCAGAATAATATTAAGAAGAGCCATAAACAGAACTAAATCAATCCATTTGTCAAATTTTACCAAGTCTCTATTGGCCAGTAAGTATTTTTCTAGGAACTTCAAATACAAAGATAAAAAGGAAAAAATCCTTGCCCATCAGGAGCTCATAGTTCAATGAGAAATATAAGCCTAAACATAAAATAATAACAGAAAAAGGTAAATACAAACTATAATTGCAGTGTATCATAAGTTTTTGTGGGATATGGCAAAGAAAGAGGCTAATTCAGCTTGGCAGTTAAGGAAGCTTCACAAAAGAGTTGATAGTTGAGCTGAATCCTAAATAATCAAATGATGTTCAACAGAGGCGAAGACACACCAAGCAAAGAGCCAGGCCCAGGATTACAAGAATGCATATAAGCATCAGGAGGGTCTGTGTGACTGGGGGCTTTGATGTGAAGCAAGAAGAAATGGGAACTGCAGCAGGGAAGAGCTGGCTCCTGCCCATCTCTCCAATCTCCTTTGGTGTATCTTACCAAATGCCAAATGCAACCCAGGACGACTTTGAGTATGTCCCAACACAAATTTGTAAACTTTCTTAAAGCATTATGAGAATTTTTTTCCTTTTTTTGCTCATTAGCTATTGTTAGTGTATTTAATGTGTGCCCCCAGAAAATTTTTCTTCGTCCAATGTGGCCCAGCCAAAAGACTGGATACCCTGTCTTACACCCTTCCTTCCTGAGCCTTAGACACAGGAAGGAGTCTTGGTATGTCCTGTCAAAAGCACCATGCTCTTTCTCACCTATGCTCTTCCTAGGTAGCCTCCTCTTAATTTTTCAGGTCCCTGATTAAGTAGTAATTCCTCAGTGAGGCCTTTCCTAACTACTCTATATGTATAGATTCCATTACTGTCACCCCCAAGACTCCCCAAAATTATCCTAGCATCCTGATCCTTTTCTTCATAGCTCTTAGGACAACTTTTCATTTGCTTGTTGTCTATCTTCTGCCTAGGCTGTAAGCTTCAAGGGTTGAAGGGGCTTTGTTTGTTTTACCCAACATTGTGCAATTAGCTTAGGTCCTAGACCATAATAGGTGCTCAACATTTGTGAAATGAATGACTGAATGTTTGTATGAATGATTGAATGGTTGAATTTAAAAAAGAGCAAAGGAAGAAAGAAAATTTGAGCCAGATTAAGTACCTCCTTATGTATAAGGCCAAGAATTGAGACTTTCTCATAGACAATGGAGTTATTAGGAATTAAAATGACTTTTTCTTTCTATTCGATAAACAACATCTAATAAAAGAATACCACAATAGTGACTTATTTCATTAATCTTGCACCTTACTTACTTCTCAATGATGCTATAATAGGTAAAGTAATAGGTACATGTTCAATTTCTAAACCATTCTCAGTTACTTGGCGTAATCGTCCACGTAGTTTAACATTTCTTCTTATAAATTCTACTGGTATATCCGAAGAGCTTGTGAATTTTGATGTCTATTGATTTACAAGGAGAAAAATATAATCGCATTATTATTGTCATTTCAAAATTAAAATGTCAAATTACAAAACATTTCATAAGAAGACATAACCATCAACATTTGTAAATTTAGGTCTTAATTTCATGTTACTTTAATATGATTTAGTCAAAAGTGTTTAAGGAAACATTATTTACAAGTCATTATTCACCATTTTCAAGCTACTACATAAAGAACATTAAATAGACTCCTAACTTCTAAAAGCTTACAACCTCAAAATATGACACAATTCATCAAAAGACAATGAGTATCTATCTGTGCCTGGCACCACACAAATCTGGTTAAACAGCCTCTAACCTATTCTACATAAGTGCAATGTATTCATGCATATACTGGTGGGAAAACTTAAAGCTGAGTCAAATTAAATTAGAACCTTAACCAACAAGATTTTTTTCTTATTATTATTTTTTATCTTGTAGGAGAAAAGGCACATTAAAAAAAGAAAAAAAGAAAGGCCAACATTAGGAATGTACTACAATCCCTAACACTTAAGTAATTTCTTGAGATCAATCAATACTTTATGCCTATTTTTTCCACATTAACAATACTACAAGCTTTGTTCATAATTATGGCTAGTTAAGAGGCCATATAACTTAAAAGTTAGGAGTCTATTTAATGTTCTTTATGTAGTAGCTTGAAAATGGTGAATAATGACTTGTAAATAATGTTTCCTTAAACACTTTTGACTAAATCATAATATAACAGAAGGAAAAGCCAGGCATGATGGCTTATGCCTATAATCCCAGTACCTTGGGAGGCAAAGGTGAAAGGATCACTTGGGGCCAGGAGTTTGAGACCAGCCTGGGAAACACAGTGAGATATCACCTCCACAAAAAAAATGTAAAAATTAGCTGGGCATCATAACACGGAATAGGAGGGTCACTTGAGCCCAGGAATTTACGGTTACAGTGAGCCATAATAGTGCCACTACGCTCCAGCCTGGGTGACAGGGTGAGACCCTGTCTTTGTAAAATAAATAAATAAAAACAAAAGGATAAATTAGTACCCAACTTCCTATGACAGTAAAGTTGAACTGAAGATTTTTATAACCAAGAATAATGTAGGAGACAAACCCAGAATGTGGAATATACTACAGAATAAATCACTTGGTCTTCCCAATGAATCAATGGCATGGAAAAAAAAGGGAGGGAAGGAATTATTTAAAAAATGAGATTTAAGAAATATAATAAATAAAATATATAGAGTATTTGAATGGTCAATTCAGCAAGAGGATATAACAATTATAAATATATACGCAACCAACACTGGCTCACCAAGATATACAGAGCCATGAGAGCTAGAGCTAAAGAGAGAAATAGATCCCAATCTAACAATAGCTGGAGGTGTCAACACCCCACGTTCAGCACTGGACAGATCTTCCAGACAGAAAATCAACAAAGTAACATTGGACTTAATCTGCACTATAGACCAACTGGACCTAGGATATTCATAGAAGAATCAATATCGTGAAAATGGCCATACTGCCCAAAGTAATTTACAGATTCAATGCTATCCCCATCAAGCTACCAATGACCTTCTTCACAGAACTAGAAAAAACTACCTTAAACTTCATATGGAACCAAAAGAGAGCCCGCATAGCCAAGTCAATTCTAAGTAAAAAGAACACAGAGGGAGGCATCACACTACCGAACTTCAAACTATACTATAAGGCTACAGTAATCAAAACAGCATGGTACTGGTACCAAAACAGAGATATAGACTAATGGAACAGAACAGAGGCATCGGAGGCAACACAACATATCTACAACCATACAATCTTGGATAAACCTGACAAAAACAAGCAATGGGGAAAGGATTTCCTGTTTAATTAATGGTGTTGGGAAAACTGGCTAGCTATATGCAGAAAGCAGAAACTGGACCCCCTTCCTGACACCTTACACTAAAATTAACTCCAGATGGATTAAAGACTTAAACATAAGACCTAACACCATAAAAACCCTAGAAGAAAATCTAGGCAAAACCATTCAGGACATAGGAGTAGGCAAAGACTTCATGACCAAAACACCAAAAGCATTGGCAACAAAAGCCAAAATAGACAAATGGGACCTAATCAAACTCCACAGCTTCTGCACGGCAAAAGAAACAATCATTAGAGTGAATCAGCAACCAACAGAATGGGGAAAAATTTTTGCAGTTTACCCTGACAAAGGGCTGATATCCAGAATTCACAAAGAACTCAAACAGATTTACAAGAACAAAACAAACAAGCCCATTCAAAAGTGAGCAAAGGATATGAACAGACACTTTACAAAAGAAGATATACATGAGGCCAACAAACATATGAAAACATGCTCATCATCACTGGTCATTAGAGACATGCAAATCAAAACTACATTGAAATACCATCTCATGCCAATTAGAATGGCGATCATTAAAAAATCTGGAGACAACAGATGCTGGAGAGGAGTGCAAATTAGTTCAACCATTGTGGAAGACAGTGTGGCGATTCCTCAAGGACCTAGAAATAGAAATTTCCTTTGACCCAGCAATCCCATTAGTGGGTATATATCCAAAGGACTATAAATCGTTCTACTATAAGGACACATGCACACGAATGTTCATTGCAGCACTGTTTACAATAGCAAAGACCTGGAATCAACCTAAATGCCCATTGATGATAGACTGTACAGGGAAAATGTGGTACATATACACCATGGAATATTTTGCAGCAATCAAAAACGATGAGTTCGTGTCCTTTGTAGGAACAAGGGTGAACCTGGAGAACATCATTCTCAGCAAACTGACACAAGAACAGAAAATGAAATACCACATGTTCTCACTCATAGGCGGGTGTTGAACAATGAGAACACATGGACACAGGGAGGGGAGCACTACACACCGGGGTCTGTTGGGGGGAATAGGGGAGGGACAGCGGGGGGTGGGGAGTTGGGGAGAGATAGCATGGGAAGAAATGCCAGATATAGGTGAAGGGGAGGAAGGCAGCAAATCACACTACCACATGTGTACCTATGCAACTAACTTGCATGTTCTTCACATGTACCCCAAAATCTAAAATGCAATTTAAAAAAAAGAAAATTTAATCCAATGGCTGTAGAATATACATTCTTCTCCTCAGTACATGGATCATTCTCAAGGATAGACCATATGTTAGGTCACAAAACAAGTCTTAAAAATTTCAAAATTATATCAAATACTTTGACTACAACGGAATACAACTAGAAATCAGTAACAAAAGGAATCTTGGAAACTATACAAACACATGGAAATTAAACAATGTGTTCCTGAATGACCAATGAGTCAATAAAGAAATTAAAAAAGAAATTTAAAAATTTCTTGAATCAAATGAAAATGAAGGCCAGGCGTGGTGGGTCACACCTGTAATTTCAGCATTTTGGGAGGCAGAGGTGGGCAGATCACCTGTGTTCAAGAGTTAAGGACCAGCCTGGCCAACACGGTGAAACCCTGTCTCTACTAAAACTACAAAAATTAGCCAGGCAAGGTGGCATGTGCCTGTAATACCAGCTATTCAGGGGGCTGAGGCAGGAGAATTGCTTGAACCCAGGAGGTGGAGGTTGCAGTGAGCCAAGATCACGCCACTGTACTCCAGCCTAGGGCAACAGGGCAAGACTCTGTCAAAAAAATTAAAAAATTATAATGAAAACAAAACATATCAAAACCCATGGAATACAGCAAAAGCAGTACTAAAAGGACACTTCATAGCTATAAGCACCTACATCAAAAACACAGAAAAACAAACAATGATCCATCTAAAAGAACTAGAAGCCAGCGTGGTGGCTCATGCCTGTGATCCCAGCACTCTGGGACACCAAGGTGGGCGGATCACGAGGTCAAGAGATTGAGATCATCCTGGCCAACATGGTGAAACCCCATCTCTACTAAAAATGCAAAAATTAGCTGGGTGTGGTGGCACATGCCTGCAATCCCAGCTACTCAGGAGGCTGAGGCAGGGGAATTGCTTGAACCCAGGAGGCAGAAGTTGCAGTAAGCCAAGATCCTGCCACTCCACTCCTGTCTGGCAACAGAGTGAGACTCCTTCTCAAAAGAAAAAATAAAATAAGAGCAAAGCAAACCCAAAATTAGTAGAAGAAAAGAAATAATAAAGATCAGAGCAAAAATCAATGAAATTGCAATGAAGGAATACAAAAGATCAGGGAAATGAAATGGTGGTTTTTTGAAAAGATAAACAAAACTGAGAAACCTTTAGTCAGACTAAGAAAAAAACAGAGGAGACTCAAATAAATAAAATCAGAAATGAAAAAGGAGACATTACAACCAATACCACAGAAATTCAAAAATTTATTAGAGGTTACTATCAACAACTGTATGCCAATAAGTTGGAAACCCTAGAAGAAATAGATAATTCCTAGACATGTACAACCTGCCAATATCGAAACATGAAGAAATCTAAAACTGAACAGATCAACAAGTAATGAGAACAAGGCCATTATAAAAGGGAATGATATCAAAGCTGTAATAAAAACTTTGCCAGCACTGAAGAGCCCAGGATTCAATGAATCCATTGCTGAATTTTACCAAAACGTTCAAGAAAAAAATGAATACCAATCCTACTCAAATGATTCCAAAACACAGAGGAAGAGGGGATACTTCCAAACTCATTCTATAAGGCCAGTATTACCCTGATACCAAAACTGGACAAAGACACATCAAAAAAGAAAACTACAGGCCAATATCCCCGATGAACATTCATGCAAAAATCCTCAAAGAAACACCTGCAAATCAAATTCAGCAACACAGTTAAAGATCATTCATCACAACCAAGTGGGATTTATCCCAAGGATGCAAGGATGGTTCAACATACATAAATCAATCAATGTGATCATACTGACAAAATGAAGGACAGGCCTGGTGTGGTGACTCACGCCTGTAATCCCAGCACTTTCGGAGGCTGAGGCAGGTGGACCACCTGAAGTCAGGATTTCGAGACTAGCCTGATCA